TATATAATATATATATATATATATTGATAATTGTTATTAATGTTGTTAGTGCTTTTTCCTTTTTATATGCTACAATTGTTTGCTGTATTTTGTGGCCTTTATTTATTTTTTAGTATCCTGTACATACATATATATTATATATAAACAAGGTTTTTTCGCTTTGCTAACAAGTAGTATTTTGTTAAACTGCTCATATCAAATTTTGGGAGAGTAATATCAACGGCTTTAATACAGCATGTGATGTGATGAACAATATTTATATCTATTTTATTAAAAATACAATAATTATAGTTAAGTATTAATATATCTTCAGTTCAATAATAAATTGTTAAAGAATTGAAATTTGCTAATAGACTTTTATTATATTAAAATAAAAACTGTTATGTGTGTTAAGATGATTAAAATATATTGTATTCTTGAAATCTTGTAATCATTATAAAAATATTTATATAATAAAAAAAAGATAAAAACTATATTTAAACAGAATATTTAAAATGTATAAGAAAAACATTTTCTATAAGAGATTAAATGAAATTAAATATGATTGTGTGTGTGTGTTACAGGCTAACACATCCTAATATTGTACAGCTATTGGAAACTTATGAAGACAAGCTTAAAGTGTACTTAGTTATGGAGTTGTAAGTTTTGAACATTGCAATAACATTTACGTTTAATATCGATAATCTACATATATATAAAAATTATATTAATTTTTTATTACAGGGTTACCGGTGGCGAGCTTTTCGACAGAATAGTTGAAAAAGGTTCCTATACAGAGAAAGATGCCTCAGGTTTAATAAGACAAGTTTTAGAAGCAGTTGATTATATGCATGAACAAGGTGTCGTTCACAGAGATCTTAAACCAGAGAATCTCTTATATTATAGTCCAGATGAAGATAGTAAAATTATGATTAGTGATTTTGGTTTGTCTAAGATGGAAGATTCAGGAATAATGGCCACCGCCTGTGGTACACCAGGATATGTTGGTGTGTAAATAAAATATAATTTCATTTATATTTTCTTTTTTAATTTCTACAAAAATTTATTATTAAAACTATTATTTCTAGCTCCTGAAGTACTCGCTCAGAAGCCATATGGCAAAGCAGTTGATGTTTGGAGTATAGGTGTCATCTCTTATATTCTCTTATGTGGATACCCTCCATTTTATGATGAAAACGATGCCAATCTCTTTGCACAGATTCTGAAAGGTAATAAAAAGTTAATGTATACATATACTTATTATTTTTAGACAACGGAGAAGAGACAATATCATCAGATATTCAGATTAATTGTAACATTTAGGACTGACAAGCACATGAAGTAATACATTAATTTGAAATTTTCATTTTTAAGGTACTATTTTAGTTTTCGTATGCAGCATTAGTACATACATAGCGTAGTAAGTAATGAAATTTCTGTGTGCGTCTGAGTCCTTATATTTGATCGTTAATTATTATTATCCCTTTGATGAACGAGTGCTCATTATCTACTTACAAATGTTTCCATAATGAAGAAACATTTTATCGTTCAATTCTGTTAGAATTAACAGCTTTAAATCACGTATAGTAAATACTATAATACACAAGTGTATGATAATACAGAATAATACACATGTGGATCTATAGTACTGTGCTTGTTCATATTACAAATATTTCATGTTAGAATGATATATCTCCAAGGACTAATTTGTCACATAGTAGCATTTTTTCATTAATCGAAATAAATGAACAAAACATTAAATTATAAATAACCAGGAATCGTACGGACACTAATTATGAGGAACTCAAGATAAACAATATCTTTTATTTTTATTTTTCGGCTTTTTTTTGGTTTTTCAAATTTATCTTTCTTTTTCCCTTACAAATTATACATTTGCTCTACTTATACTGTCACAAAATCGTCTACTCTATAGCAAGGAGCTAATCAGACTGTTATAGGTGAATTTGAATTTGATTCACCATACTGGGACGATATCAGTGATTCAGCTAAGGATTTCATACACAAGTTGATGTGCGTCAATGTTGAGCAACGCTATACGTGCAAACAGGCCCTAGCACACCCTTGGTAAGAATATTAATTAATCATTTTCTCTTTAAAATAAAACCTTTAAAATAAAGTACATTTTTTTAAACTAATTAAAAAAAAAATGAAATATTTATTAAACTTTTAAAACAATTTTATATTTTCTATGATACAAATTATAATATAACTGCAGATATTAATTAAGAATATGTTAAACACATATATCAACTTTATAAAGGAGAGTATTGCAGAAATACAATTGATATCAAATAATATGTAATTAATATCAATTAAGTAAGTAAAGAAATTCCATTCCCTGTGATGACTTGTAATTAATAATCATTTAATAATAATGTCCTCAAAAGCTTTTAGTTTTGATATACAAATGAAAAATAAAAAAGGAACAAATTAGAAAAATGATAATTATCAAAAAATATCACATAAAAATAATAATTTAGATCTAACTATCCTACTAAATAAGATTCTGTCATTATCAAATTTTTTCTAATCACATAACATAAAACACACACACACACACATTTTAATATTAGTTTAAAATATATTTAAATATATTTCATCTAATTTAACACACGTATAATTAATTTTTTTCTAGGATTTCTGGAAACGCAGCTAGCAATAAAAATATCCATGGTACTGTATCTGAACAACTTAAAAAGAACTTTGCCAAATCGAAGTGGAAGGTTAGTATGGGTATACGATTAGCAAATTCCTGATTGCGCATATATTTGCTTACCAGGCTCCGTAGGAAAGTCTCCCACTTCTCTCATGGTTCCAGCAAGCATATCATGCTACCACGGTCATACGTCAGATGCAGAGATTGGCACTCAACAGCGGTCAGCAACAACAGGGCCCAGGATCAGGCCCCTGCACCGGCAGCCTCACGCCGTGTCCCGATCAATTGCAAACCAATCCCAGCAACCATCAGCACAGATCAATGGAATCTCCAAACAACTTCAATTGAAGGAAACGTTTGAGCCATCATTGTCCACACCAAACTTGATGGCTTTGCCGACCTCTCCTCCCATTCCACTTACTCCTAGCTCTCCATTATACTTACGCAGCAAGCGCTTTAAATTATGGGGCAGTACACGCATTGCCCTCTCTACTCTTTTTCGAGTTAATGTCTCGTATCTTAGGAAGCAAAGGAAATATAAAAAATGTTGAATCTCACTGCTAAACATTCTCTAGAAGTTAATGTCAATGAAATCTAATGCTTTGTAATTACATTATTTACAAAGTGTTGAAAAAGCTACATTATCTTAAGCTAAAAATGCTTTATTACAATTTCCTATGACATAGTTAAATGCTGATTATGTATAGTACACAAATTTTAGTGGATTGCACGATGAATCACACACACGTTTTCTGATAATATGTCTTGCCTTTTTTTTCTTATTTTTTTTATGTACGATAAACTAATAGATGTATGAAATTTATTTTGATTAAAACTAATATCGTAGAATTATAAAAAGAAAAATAAATGTCTGAGGACATATAATAATTTTTTAATAAAAATAAGATACACAAATGATTTTCAACTATTTTGTTTAATTACTCAAGAAAATGAAAAATTCGTAAACAACTTAATTCGTCTTCGATGGTTACAAATTAAGAAAACATGTATTTATGTGTTTTGTTTTTTTCTCTTTAATGTAAGACAATTTAATTAACTCTTATAATTAGGCCTTTTGATCTAAAGTATAAGGATAAATAAATATCTTAGAACAAATGAATTTTAAAATATTCTATAAAATAAGATAAAATATAATATTTCATTGACATCACATTGTTGATTAAGGAAGTTATTGAAAATGTTTATTTGTATTCAAAATATCTTGATAATATTAATGCTAAACAAAACAAAATTAAT